GCGGCGGCGTACTCGCCCTCGCCTGTGGCAGCGCCAACTGCCCTCGCGGAGGTGGACAGCGCCGCCGAGGCGGAGGCCAGGGTTGGTACGGGCTTGCACAGCGAGGCTGAGCCGGCGCGGCATCGCGACGAGAGTGCCACCCTTGCCTGGCCTCGGCGAGTCCCCCACCCCGCGCGCCGCCGCCGCCGCAGGGCGGCAGAGACGGAGCCTCCCAGCGCTCCCTGGTCAGGCGCTGTTCTGACTTCGGCCGGCGATCGGCGCAAAAGAGCTCTCTACGCGTTCGAATTGTGGTGCGCCGAGGACGCAGGGGTGGCGCCACTTCCGCTGTATCGTAGTGGGATCCTGCTGTCGAGGTTCCTCGCAACGTTCGGCGTGTGGCTGCACGACGCAGGTTTCCCGCTCAACATCCTGGTGCACGCGATCATAGGCGTCCAGGCACGTCTCCCTCATTGGAAGCCCTTTCTCACCGAGGCGTGGGGAGTGGCGAGGGCCTGGAAGCGGTCTCAGCCACCTCGCCTTCGGCCGCCAATGCCACGAGCGCTCTTGCGCGCTATGGTGGCAGTTTGTTTCACTTGGGACTGGCCAGTCATGGCCGCCTTGCTGCTGGCAGGGTTCACGATGTCCTTGAAGCCCGACGAGCTGCTGTCAGCCCGTCGCTGTGACCTTTTGTTGCCTTCGGATTGCCTTGAGTCCTCAGGCAACGCTTGGATGACCATTCCCGATCCAGTGAGCAGCATGTCTTACCCGCCACAGCACGCCTGGTGCTCTGACAAAGCGGTGGTTCGGGTTTTGGAGATGGTCTTTCGGCATTTGGGTCCCACCGATCCTCTGTCGACCTTTGGTCAAAGCGGCTTCCGTACTCGGTGGAACCATTTACTTTTGGCGTTAGGCGTACCGCTCGCCGAGACGCCAGCGGGGTTCCACTTGACCCCTGCTTGCCCCCGCGGCTCAGGCGCGACAGACTTTCATACGGCCACAGAAGATATTGGTCGTATCTTCTGGCGTAGTCGCTGGCGCCAGGCGTCTAGCGCGGAGCGCTTCTTGCACGACGATGCTTCCGCCGCGATGCTTTCCGCCTTGCCTGATGCCGCTCGGGCCCGTGTCACCTACTTCGATGGCGCGAGCGACTTCCTTGTCGCTTCCTTTCTGAACTGTGGCCCCACTGCGTGGCCCCTTCTGCTCGCGGCCGCCCGCCAAAACCTTGTCACTTCGCAAGGGCTTTGAGCCTGGGTATGGCTGCTACGGCCACCTGGCCGTCCAGATGGCCTCGTTGGACGAGGTCGTCTGAGGGCGCCGCACGGCTTGGGCGCGGCGCCCCGTCATCCTTTACGGGTCGCCGCGCGCGCGCCGCGCGCCCGCCTCCGGGACCTGATCGCTTGCGCTGCGTGCGGGAGAATGCGCTTCTCTATTCTCCTTGCCGCTCGCGCCCGTTCAGGTCCTGCAGCTTCTCGGCCCCCTCCCCCCCTCCCCGCCTTACTCAGGCAGGCCTGCGGCGCTGCTACGGCCACCTGGCCGTCCAGATGGCCTCGTTGGACGAGGTCGTCTGAGGGCGCCGCACGGCTTGGGCGCGGCGCCCCGTCATCCTTTACGGGTCGCCGCGCGCGCGCCGCGCGCCCGCCTCCGGGACCTGATCGCTTGCGCTGCGTGCGGGAGAATCCTCCTCCTCCTCCTCCTCCTCCTCCCCCTTCTCGCCCTCCCCTCCTCGGGTCGCCTACGGCCCCGGGGGCAGCCGTCCACCCTGCTGTAGCTTCTTGGCTTCTCGCCCGAGTCTGCGAGGCCGTCGTCGTGCTGCTTCTCCTCCTCGTGGCCTCCCCCTCGTCGCTCTCCGCGCCGGGCTCCTCCTCCTCGTCGGCCGCTCCCCCCGACGCTGCCGTGCCTTCCCCCCGTCGTGCCTCCCGTCGTGGCCTCCCCCTCGTCGCTCTTCTCGCCGTGCTCCTCCCGTCGCGCTCGGCCCCTGCCCCCCCCGCCTTCGGCGCGGGGGGGGCCCCGCCCCGCGCGCTCTCCACGTGCGAGGCCCCGGCGTGGTGCCAGCTTCGAGGCTCCCCTGGGGCCCCGAAGTTGGCACCACGAGAGGCGTGCGGGTAGGTTCGCGTCGGCACCGCCAGCGGCGTTCACCTTTGAACGCCGCGGGCGACTCAGAATCGTTCGGTGTGGAATGATTTGTACGTTTTGGAGACGGTTGACCGCTTAAGGTTGAACGATTCCCGCGGTGTCAGGATAAAATGCCGAAGTCGGCACGACACGAACCTGCCGCACCTGTCTTGCCCCCCCCTGGTCAGTGCCCTAAGTCGGACATGCCCCTCTACAGGAGGAGTATTCAAAAGTAGTTAAAACATAGCATGGGGACGATTTTTAGCTTATTTCCATTCGTTGGTTTGCATTATGTTTCTTCTTCTTCTTCGTCTGATCATGATGATGATGATGATGCTGATGATGATGATGATGATGATGAGGATGATGATGCTGATGAAGATGAAGATGATGATGATGATGATGATGATGATGATGATGATGATGTTTATATTAGTCTGAATACTAGTATTATTATTATGGTTAGTATTCCTATTATTCGTAGTATCATCATTATTCTTATTATTATTGTTATTGTTATTGTTATTATTATTATCACTATTGTGATAATAATAATATTTATTATTATTATTATTAGTATTATTATTGTTATTATTATTTGTATTGTCATCATTATTATTTCCATTATTATTATTGGTATTATTGTTATTATTCATATTACTATTATCCTTATTATTCTTATGCTTATTATTATGATTATTTCTATTTGTATCATTATTATTATTAGGGTATATATGCACATATTTTTACATATATACATATATATATATATATATATATATATATATATTATATATATATAGATATGTATAATCAAGTTTCGTCCGACATCCGCCTGTAGGAGGAGATGCCCTACCTAACCCTGCCCCCCCTCTTCGGCGCGGGGCCGTCCAGGGGGGGGGGGCTCCGCGCGCTCTGCCCGTGCGAGGCCCCGGCGTCACTCCCCCTGTGGGGAGCCTCCGTGACTGGGGGGGGGGGGCGGCCAAGGGGGGGAGGTAAACCTCCCGAACAGGGAATGGCTATCTTGACCCTTCTACCGCTATCTTGGGTCATCTTGGAGGCCATCTTGCGCTCTCTGAAGCCCTCTTGGAGCCATCTTGGACCAAAAAGGACCCTCTGCCACCTCGCGGGGGAGCCCGTCCAGACGCAAGGGGGCGGAGGTAAACCTCCCGAACAGGGAAAGGCAGGAGGTTGGAGAAGGAAGCGCTCTGGACCACCGGCGCCCAGAGGGCTGGTGGGATTTTATTTTGTCGTCCAAACTTCGCCTGCAGGAGGACACGCCCGACCTAAGCATCACCAGGAACTGTCGGAGCTCCGCGCAGATTCCTTGGACCTGCGCTGGGCCCTCCCGTGGTGGCGCCGCGGGCGCCGCCCCTGGCGCGCTCCGTGCGCCAGGCGGGGGGGGGGGGGCGGCCCAGCGCGGGTCCAAGAAATATGCGCGCGGAGCTCCGAAAGCGTACGTTTGTGTATTCTGATGATGTTCCAACCTACTTCTAAGTCGGGCCTGTCCCTCTACAGGGGGAGTATTCAAAAATAGTAATAATAGTCTGGGGACTATTTTTGACCATTTGTGAGCATTTTTGAATATTTTTCGGGTATTTTTAATTTTTCGCCCGAGATCAGCCTGTAGGGGGACAGGCCCGACTCAACTTTAGCCTTCCGAGTATCGGGTCCGAGAATCGGGGGCGTCCCCATCAGGCAGCGCCCGACCTCCCCCTCTGGAGCCTTCTCCGGCGCCAGAGGGCCACCGCCGAGAGGAGCTCGTACCCAGCAGTGCACATTTCGACCTTGTTGATTCGGCCCCGATTGCGTTGTTCCCGTCGTAGTTGAGGAGCGCATCCCAGAAATCATTTCGAGCCCCCCAGAAAAGTATCGAGAAAGTGTCCCACGAGTGTCATCTCCCAGGGCCCGACACGTGAAGAGCCTTCAACTTCGGTACTTTCTTGGTGCTGGAATGATCTGGCTCGATGTCGGCACCGATCTCGGCTGGCCCGACCCGGCTCGATTCGGCCCGATGCTTATGTGGCGCTGTTGTGCATCCTGACGAGGCGGATCCGATTCGCTTCCGACTCCGTGCCGACGAAGCCCGGGTCGGTGCATTTTCCGATCCGATCCGGCTCCGCGATTCTGTGTTGGTCGATCTTTCCGGGCGTGGCGGAGCGGTCAAGGACCATGCCAGGCTAGCTCGGCTCGAGGAGCACAAGGCTTAAGTCGGGCCTGTCCCTCTACAGGAGGAATTTTCAAAAATAGTAAAACAAGTAGTCTGGGGACTTCTTTTACAAATTATTGTTGGACCATGTTGGATTATTTGTTCCTCCAGAATCCCCCTGTAGGGGGACTGGCCCGACTTAACACAAGCCAGCACGGGCACATTCCTGTTCGGATTCCTTGGCTTGGCACTGGACCCCCCCTGCCAGCGCCTCTGGCTGCGCCCCCCGACGCGCTTCGCGCGCCAGGGGCGTGGCCTGCGGGTCCAGCGCCGACCCAAGATACCCGCGCGGATCTCCGACAGTGTCTGTTGCGTGGGTTTCGTACTCGATGTAATTCAAGGAGCAGCCCAGACTGGTTCTATGGAGATTCGGTGGCGAGGGTGTTGAGGAGGGAGGTGAACGGCATCGTTGAGGTTGCGAGGTGTTGTGCGACCCGACTTGGCATCCGTTCGGACAAGTTGCCGTTGTTGCAGCAGAGAAGCGCACAGCCGTCCATCGTTCGAAGCAGCGGCTTGCACTGTCTGCCAGCAGTTTCGCATGCGTTTTCCTCACGAATACGCGTTTTCCGTAGGACCGACATCGACAATATGGACGGAAGGTTCGCAGACAAACTATCATGTTATGTTATGTAGCAAGAATGTCAGGACAGCGGTGGTGCCTTTACATGCGCATGACCTCGCAATGCGTGGCGGCGTGCAGGACGACTTGAAAGCTGGCCATGGTGTGTTCACGTGGACTGACGGCCACGTGTATACTGGTCAGTGGGATGGTGGCAAGCAGGATCGTATGCCTTGTTGATTGCTCTTTCCGTTCTGCTGCGTTGGGTGGGCATGACATCGGGCTCTCTGAAAACAGTTTACAACATTATAACATGAAGGGTTGTGGTTGAGCAGACATGAGGTCCTTCCACCTGTGCATTCTCGATAAGGGTCGTCAGCTGAGGAGCTGGTCGTCTTGTCTCGAGTCTGGTCGGTTCGACTGACTGCTGTGAACGGGCCGAGATGATTTGCGAGGTGTGGTGGTGGTGGCGGCATCGCAGGCAAGATTCCGAAGCAGACATGAGGGCATTTGGGGTGAACGGGCCGTACTTTGGAGAACGGTAAGATTGCGAAGGCCTTACGGCTGGTGTCGCCGACCTTGAAGGGGGATGGCGACGACGACGGCGACTGCCGCGCCGCTGCTGCCTCGGGCCGCCGAGATGGGGCCGCCCACGGTCTCGCCCATCCCGAACGCGTGGAAGGCGCCCAAGCCATCGTCCGGGGCCGACGGGGCCCCTGTGGCCCAGCCTCCAGGCGGCACGCTGACGGTCGGGCCGACGCCGAAGGGCGGGAGCGGCGGCAGCGGCGGCGCCTCCTGCTTGGCCGTGGGGCCGAAGGCGTCCTCCAAGGCGCCCTGCGTCTCCTGCCCCGCACCGCTGCCATGGTGAAGCTGAAGCGCGGCCAGCTGCGCCCGCAGCCTGGCCATCTCGGCCGACTTGCTGCGCCGCTGACAGCACCAGCCGAGCAGCCCTGCCCGCCACAGCGTGGCGACGACGCCGCAGGTGCCCAGCAGCGTCGTCATCGCGAGGAGCTGCACCGCCTCGCGTCCGCTGGCCGCGCTGAGGGTCTGGCGGAGCCCGAGGGCGACGCCCGCCAGCGTGCCAGCAGCCCACAGGACAGCCCACCAGCGGCTTGGGCCCTCGTCCGCCGCCGCCGCGGACCCATCCTCGGAGGGAACGGTCACCAGGACCATGTTCTGCACTGCGCTGGGGGGAGGCCCAGCCCCCTGGGTTGTCATTCGAATGTGTACATGCCTGGGCTGAAGGTTGAGCCCAGAAAAAGACTGCGAAGAGGGAACATAATTCAGCACTCACATTAAGTCACACTCACTGCTCTCATTCTCCAATCATCATCATCATCATCATCATCATCATCATCATCATCATCATCATCATCATCATCATCATCATCATCATCATCATCATCATCATCACCATCACCATCATCACCATCATCACCATCACCACCATCACCACCATCACCACCATCACCATCACCATCATCACCATCATCACCATCACCATCACCATCACCATCAGTGCCATCGGGCTCGAACTCGCTGGGGAGCGAGTGCGCGCAGCCCCTCCGATCTGCCCTCCGAGTCCAATTTTCGTACTCCTGGCGGCACCGACAGTGAGTCTCACTGCAGAAGATCGGTTGTTTCTCTTGCTCGCTTCGCTGGCGTCCATCCATGTTCTTTGAGATGGCGAAGAAGGCAACGAAGATCAGCGGGCCTGCAGCTCGCAAGACGAAGGTCGTCGGAATCATTCAACAGGGCGGTGGCGATCGAGCTACCGCAGCCTACAACGAGCTGATCCATAAGGACCAGGCGGGACTGGACCAGGTGCTGGACCAGACCCCAGAGGACACGCAGTTGAGAGCCATCCAGAAGCTCTTGACGAAGAACAAGATCTCGTGGACCCACGAGCACCAGCGGCGCACCTCGGCTGCCACTGCTGTGACCGACGGCTCCACGAATACCACGAAGGGCAAGGGCAAGGGCACCGCGGCCGTCGAGCCGCAGCCCATCGCCTTGGACGAGCACGACTGGTCCATCCCCATCGCGCAAGCTCCCAAGAAGATGTCCGACGGCACCTGCGAGTCTTCCGTCTCTTTACAGCGCCAGAAGGAGCCGCTCGCCATCCTGGCCATCGGCACGGGCAGCGACAACTGGGCCCACGCGAAGATCCATATTCCAGTTCTCAGGTTTCCCCACGGCACCACCAAACCGCGGAAGACCTTCATGAATGGCGTCATCTACCAGTTCGGCGAGACCGACTTTACTATGAAGACCAATGTCGCGCAGCTCGGCGAAGCGGACATGCTGAACAGCTTGCACTGGCACAAGGCAATTTTGAGGACCCTTTCGCTCTTGCCAATACTATTGCGGCGGGTTTCTTGGATATATGCTGTGATGGTCATATCAAGAAGGGTACGAGAGGGCGTGGCAAGCCCCCTCGTTTTGTGCAAGGGTGGGCCGCCCCACCCATCTCTCCACAGCACGGTGCCATGTCTCGCACAGAGTGGCAATACACCAAGCTCCACCGTCGACTACTTGAACTAAGTTATCGTGCTGAACGTTGTGAAGCTCGTGGGCATGCATCCTACATCGACATCCAGCTCTACCACCAGCTCTGGGCCAGCTGCTGCAAGCAAGTTCGACTTCTTCAACCAGTGTGTGCATCCTGGCCTGGATGGTGGACGCCTTTCTGTTGGCCTTCGGCAGCCCAGTCCCGTCACGCTGCTGCCCAGATTCTTGCTGAACAACAACGGTATGCCGCAGAAGACCAACGCCAACGACTTCAACGACGGCGAACTCGAATTTCAGCATCTTGCCAAAGTGGAGGGCGAGAGGTCTGTGCCTGGGTAAAAGCGCAGACGCAGCAACCCACTACCTTCCTCAAACAACCCGACACCCAGGACATTATTTCCAACCCGCTCGATATTATCAAGCTGATGCAGTTAACTTGGGAGCCGATTCTTTGCAAATATCGTGGGACTTCAGAGGTTCCCACTTGGGGGGGTTTTCGTGCCGAATACGAAGCTGAGCTGCCCCCAGTGAGCCCCTGCCCTGAGCCCACGCTTAGTGATGCTGTTGTCGGCGCTTTTCTCCAGGCACGCTCCTCTCGCAAGGCGGGAGGTCTTGGCGGATGGGCGACGGTGGAGGCCGAAGCTCTGCCCGCAGCCATCCAGGCCGTCTTCGCCGAGGCTCTTCGAGCGATGCAGAATTCGGGTCAGGCCCCCTCGGCTTTCAAACATGTTCCGAATCCCGCCTTGAGGAAGGGAGAGGGGATTTTTCCTGAAGGGCTCCTTTCCGTTTTGTCTGTGTGGTTTTATTCTTGGGGTGTCCCGATTTACCGAAAGCTCGACTCTTGGAAGCGAAAGTGGAGTCGCCCCGCGAGTTTTGGGGCTACGTCGGGGGCTCGTCTCTCGGATGTCTCCACCAGCCTTGCCTTGCAGGTCGAGTGGTCCCGACACGCCGAGAACTGGGTCCACGGTCTTGCTCTCGACAGAAAGTGCTTCGACCTGCTGATATCCAGTATATGCATCGAACTTCAACGACGCGCAGGGTGCCCCGAGAGTGTGCTTCGAGTTCGTGAACAGTTTTACGCCCAGCATCGGAGATACTTGCGAATGTCTGGAACTTACAGCGACGCCAGTGCCACCACGAGCGGCCACTTACAAGGCTCTGCATTCAGCATTGATGATATTAAGATGCTCATGTATGTATGGACGGCGAGGCAACACAGGGTAATACCGAGATCTCTATCCATAACGTACATCGGCGACTCCAACTCAACTGTGTGGGACATGGCTGGGATTCGTGAATCGCTTCGTGAATCGCCTCTTTCTGATAAACTATCTGGACAGGAGCTACATCTTGGGAAGCTGGTCGCTTGGACCAGCGACGAGAACTCGGTCACTGAGCTCGCCGACGCCGCGGTCTGTGGCCGCAACCTGCCCGTCAAGCGCGCCTTCCGCCTAGTGGGCAGCCAGATCGTCGCGCGTGGAGGTGGCGACATTAGCCTCATGGACCGCCACTTCGTTGCTGCAGCTCAACGACTTCAACGTGCTCAACGGCTCCCCCTTCCTCTACATAAGCGTGCCGACATCGCGCAAACGATGGCGGCATCCATGGTTGCTGTGGGCTCCGACCTCGGCGCGCCCTCCAACCGACAGTTGCGGGATTACTACCGCGCCATGTTTGCGACCATCATGCCTAAGGGGCGGCAGTGGACCTGCCAGTGGATCTTGTTGAGCGTCGTTCTGAAGGGCCACCTCCTCGACCCCATCACGATCAGCCAGTGGGGAGTTACCCTCTCGCTACGCCGTCAGGTTCTGCGGGTGCCACAGCTTCGTGACTACGTGCTTGACCTTCGTGATCATATCCAAGATGCAGGCGCCGCCTACCCTGGTCCAGTTCGTACGTTCGTCAAGAGGCTCAACCAGCTCAACTGGCGCTGGCCATCCTTTGACATTCTGCTGACCAACTTGGGCACTCCCATTTCGTGGCTCGAAGGGCACAGTGACTTCCTCGTGCATCATCTTCGAGGCGCCCAACGACGGTGGGTGGTTTCAACGTCAGGTGCCCACTACGCGGAACGACCGCGGAGACGTGGCCAAGCACAAGTACGGCATTGACATGGTTTCAAATTCTTGGCTCTTGCGAACACGCAGTCTCAGGCATCGTCTTACTAAACGGCAGCGCGGTCTTTTGTCTGTGTTTCTAGCCGGCGGCGATCGCGCGCAACAGAGATTGCAGGGGTCATCAATTTCAGAAGACACTTCAGCGGTGTGCAGGTTCTGTGGCAGAGAACAGGAAACGCCAGAACACATCCTGTGGGAGCGCCCTTGCTGGCGAGAAGAGCGCGCACCACTACTCCAATATCCTCAGGTTCAAGAACGTGATCAGTGGCCGCCGTCAACACGTCATTGTGGTCTCACGTGCATCGATGAGGAGACGGTCAATTTCTACAGCGAATTTGTAGCCCTACCTGAACCCCCACAACATCGATTCCCACAGCAAGTGGACGACGACCCCGCCGAGGACATGGTCAACTACATCACCGACGACGAGAACAAGCGGTGGCTGGCCTTAGCAACGGATGGCGCCTGCCGTTTCCCTCAACATCAGTGGCTAGCTCGAGCTGGATATGCTGTATATGTGGCGCCACACCACCGCCTAAACTATTCCTCGAAGCTATACGGACCACGACAAACTAGTGCACGCGCTGAAGCCCGAGCTCTACTTCATGTTGTACGCGTTGCGGAAGAGTCCGTTTTGATCTACTGCGACAATCAACATTGTGTTCGTGGATTCAACAATCTACTACAAGGAGGAGAGCCGCCTGGAGGAAGCTGGAATGACATCTGGACCCAGATCAAGATTGCGATGGACGCCAAGCCCGAGATGTTCTACATCGAGCACGTGTACTCGCACCAGGGCGATGACGGTGTGGACCGCGGCGCTGTGCATCCGCTCGCCGAGGAGTTGAATAAAAATGTTGATTGGCTTGCCGCTAATGCCGCCAAGTTACACCCCCTCCCGACCTCTGTGATTCAGAAAGCCAGGGACCGTCTTATTTTGACCACTTTAATGCATCGATCGATTGTTTGAATTTTAGAGAAGCGTGCTGTGACGAGACCCCTTCCCCATCGGTCTGCGGGGTTCTCGGAGTCCCAACTCGCTCGTCTCGCTCCTTTCACCTCCGGCCCTCTCCCGCCTCCTCCTCCCCCCCCTCCCCCTCCCGACTGGGAGGAGGCGATGGGGGTCGAGGTCGAGCTCGAAGATGAGGCCGACTATGACCCTTTCGGATTTGGTCTCGAGTTAGGTTAGCCTCTCGTCCGATCCAGCATGGCAACTATTTACATAGTGCCTCGACCCGTGCACGAGGCAAGAGGTCGCCGCCTCCGTCTCGGTTTCAGATGTGGCGGACTCCGTTTTCAGAGTCCAAACGAAGGGGGAACCCCGTTGTGTTTTTATTTTCTTGTGGTTCAGCAGGCCCGGAGAGCCTAGACTAACCGACCCAAAAGCGCAGGGCTTCACCATCACCATCACCATCACCATCGCCATCACCATCACCATCACCATCACCATCACCATCACCATCACCATCACCATCGCCATCACCATCACCATCACCATCACCATCACCATCATCACCATCACCATCATCATCATTTCTGTTTTTGCTCTTATTTTGGAAATGGAGCATGGGCTGCGTATGCCTGCGAATGCCACAGCCGAGGCAAACGTGAGCCTTAGGGCCGCGCTGCCCACGCTCGAGCCGTGGCCCAGTGCCCCTGCCCGCAGTGGCGCGACGGAGGGCCGCTTTGCAGCGCGCGAGACGGAGCGCCCGCTGGGCGTGACCCGCGGGGCGTGGCGGGACCCTGGGGCAGAGCGAAGGCCCCCCTCTTGGCTTCCCCGGGAGCACGGGGGGCTCGAGGCTCCCGCCTTGGGCCAAACCGGCCACGGACGCGGGCGGGCCGGGAAGAGGAGGAGGCGCAGGCGGAGGAGGAGGAGGAGGAGGAGGAGGAGGAGGAGGAGGAGGAGGAGGAGGAGGAGGAGGAGGAGGAGGAGGAGGGAGGAGGAGGAGGAGAGGATGGGGGAGGAGGAGGAGGAAAGGATGGGGAGGAGGAGGAGGAGGAGGAGGAGGAGGGAGGAGAGGAGGAGGAGGAGGAGGAGGAGGAGGAGGAGGAGGAGGAAGAGGAGGAGGAAGAGGTGGCGGAGCGCACAGAGGGCCGAGGTCAAACCGAACCGTCATTGACCCAGATAGCGGCTTCTTGCGACAACTCCTTCCATATTGGCCCAGGAGGTAGAGTCACCCCGCACAGTAAGGATGGGCAGCCTTCCCAAGGGTACCCTTGCATCCTTGCCTCCTCGGTCCATCCTTCGCCGCATTCGCTGGCCGCGCAACCCTCGCATCCTTGCCTCCTCGGTCCATCCTTCGCCGCAGTCGCTGGCCGCGCCCCGCTCGAGAAGCTTCGAAACGGGCGCCCAAGGCCCTTGCATCCTTCTCGCGCAATCCTTGCTATACTGGTCGACTGTAGGCGCCCTCGACGGCTCTGCCTCCCCTTGGCTGCGGACGGGCTGCGATGCGTCGGCTCTCCTGCTCTGCGTGCGCTGACGTGCTTCCCCCGTCCGTCCGCCCGTCTGTACATGTGCGCAGCTTGCCAGTCCGCGGCCTGCTCTGGTCCGAACGCCTCGTTTCCCACGTCGCAGCGGCCCAACAGAGCCAAGCCTCTCTCCCTCTCTCTCTCTCTCTCCCACGGTCCACAAGGGAGACACGCGACAGCTCTCGCCCCCCTCGTAAACTGAGAATGGGGGCCGGCACAAGGCAGCTCTCACTGCCATCTCCGTCTCTCCCAGCCCAGGGATTCAGTATCGTTTAGCTGACCCCCATCCCCATCCCCATCCCCTTCGAGACCCCCACCAAATTACCCCCCCAGTTGGGGACACACCCCTCGAAGCCCGAAGGGAACGGCCTATATCCCCATCCAGGGGGGCAAACCGGCCAGGCGGTGGACAAACCTCCCCTTAGCAGACCTCTCTTTCGTGAAAACGGCCTAGGACCGACATCGACGGACCTGGACCCGCAAAACTGACGGCCGCGACGCCCCCTCGCGAACCGAGAACGGCCACTTCGCTAATCGACGCGTCAGGGTAGGAGGTCTATCAAAACCTCCGAGCTCTCCGCGTGGGCCCCGCAGGGGGCCCACGTGTGGCCAGCCCCGCCTCCGCCGGCCCTGCACAGAAGGGGCTGCGGGCGGGCTCGCGCCGCGCGCCAGCGCGGCCGCGACCCCAGCGCGGGCCTTCAGGGCTGAACGCTGCCGGTGGCCCGTGCAGCGGGGGCGCGCAGCAAGAAACCATCAAGCAGTGGCGAAGCGTCCTGGCTCGCCTATAGCCCTACCAAAGAATGTTCTGAGAGCCTCTTGTGGTCTCCACGAGATGTTCTTAGAACCTTTCTGGCGGAGTCTGTCTTGTTTTATCGCATCGGTTTTATGTTCTAAGAACAGTGTTTCTGTTCTTCGAACATGTTTGGGTTCTAGGAACATTTCGCGGTAGGACTATAGGAATGCTGGGACGGTCGGTCCCTGCTCAAAACCATTTGCTTTTCGTCAGGGTATCCTGGGATTCTTCGCTCCTCGCGCTGCGCAGTGGCTTCCCGCGGCCGTGGGAGGAGCTGCTGCGTTCCGGGTGCTCCAAGTTTCCCCTCAGGTGCACCTCGCGCACGGGTTCTCGGGGTTTGGTTTCTTGCGAGGGTTTCTTGCGGCCGCGTCCGCACTGTACGGGGCTTCTGCCGAACGGTCCGCGCGATCGGGAAGCCGCGATCGTTCAAGGTCGCAGGCCTAGAGGTTGACACCAACTCCAATATCGGCGGTGTGCCTCCACCGACGGAAGAGGATCCCGATCTCGGTGATGGTGGTGATAGTCTGACTTCCAGGGTGACCAACATATTATCAACAGCGCCGAAGTCTAAGATCATCTTACCCCTTCGGAGGCAGCCCCCAGTGTTGGTGTTGGTGCCCATTTCCAGGCCTCCAACAAGGTTGAACGATCCACGCGGCGTCACGAATCATCGGCGGCGCGCCCAGGGGCGAGGCACAGGGACGGGCCATCTCAGAGGGCCCAGAAGGCCAATGGCCTTTCGAGAGGAGCTTTCTGAGCCTTCTCCGAAGACAGACGCGGCCTCTCAGAGGGCCTGTGGGCTTCCGAGAGAGCCCGCCGCTTCCTGAGAGGGCCTGCCATCTCGATCACGCTTCCCTTCTCGGCGCGCCCCCGACACCGACGCCAACGTCGTCAAGACTCGGACCTGCCGTACAGTGGAGACCCATGCCAAGAGACACCCTTCTTGCCTCCAGGGTGCCCTGGGTGTCTTGGGTTTCGATGGTTTTGCTATGGGAAGCGCACCAACCATCGATGGACGTTCTAGGATCTCAGGGTTGGGTCTCTTGTGGAAGGTTTCTTGTGGACTAGCCTCCACTGTGTTGCCCCCCTGCTGGTGCAGCAGTGCGTTCTGGCGGCACGTTTTTTCGCGCGCCGCGGCCCGCAGGACGGCCAGGGGACGATGACCAGCCCCGACGGCACAGTCAGGGTCGGGCACTGGCAGGCTGAGCGGTCTCAGAGTTCTCCTCCTCCCCTCCATCCCTTTGAATCCTCAATGACGTATAGTTATGTATATGCACCTATATATATATATATACACATGTGTGTAATGCATCGAAGACGCCTATGACAAACCACTGCTGCCCCCTGCCTTTTGGACACCCCTGTATGGCCAAGCCTTGGGCCGAAGTCTTGCCATGCTATTGGACCTCGGGCTTCCTCAGACGTTGTAGAATCCCTTGGGAGCACACTTGTGGGAGGAAATGAAAAGAGGAGGGGAGGCGGGAGAAGGAGGAGGAGGAGGAGGAGGAGGAGGAGGTGGAGGAGGAGGAGGAGAAGGACGATGATGATGATGATGATGATGATGATGATGATGATGATGATGATGATGATGATGATGATGATGATGATGATGATGATGATGCTGATGATGATGATGATGATGATGATGATGAGGAGGAGGAGGAGGAGGAGGAGGAGGAGGAGGAGGAGGAAGCTGAGTTCTGAGGACCTTGGGGCCTCTCGGGGGCCTCTCGGGGCCACGCCCCTTCTTTGGGCGCTATCGGGCCATTGTGGAGGTCTGTGTGGGGCCGTCTTGGGGCCCTCTTTGGGCGTCCTGGATGCCTCTTGGGTTGTCTTGGGTTGTCTTAGGGCCCTCTTGGCCCATCTTGGGACTCTCTTCGGGGCTTCTGGGGCCGCCTGGGGGCTATCTTGGATGCCTCTGGGGCCGTCGTCGGATGCCTGAAGCCCGAAATGTCGATAACCCGGAAACGATTGAGTTGATAATGACAAGCAGTAATTTTGGCCTCCTTGCGGTCCTCTTGGAGCCCTCCTGGGGCGTTTTTGGGTCCTCGTGGGCTGACTGGAGAGCATCTTGGGCAGTCTTGGCGTCATCTTGGCCTGACTTGGAGGCCATCTTGGCCATCTTGGAGGCGTCCTGGGCAGTCTTGAAGGCCATCTTGGGTCATCTTGGCGGCCTTGGAGGCCATCGAGGAGGATCGTGTGCACTTTTTTCTGGCTCTTCCCGTGGGCTAGCTGGTTGTGCCGGAGGCCACCGGGAACCGCTTGGAGGGGCCAAACCAGTCAAACATTTGGCACGCCAAAGCCTTCTTTGCAGGCACCAGGGGGCGGTTGATCGAAGACGCCTACGGCGAATCACCGCCGCCCCCTGCCTTTTGGAATCGCCCATGTGGCCGAGCGTTGTGGCAAGAGCTCTGCCAAGCTATCGGACCATGCGTTCCCCCAGCCGTTGTGGAAACCCTTCGGGTAACACTCGGGGTAGGATGGCGGGGAAGATCAGGAGGAGGAGGAGGAGGAGGAGGAGGAGGAGGAGGAGGAGGAGGAGGAGGAGGAGGAGGAAAAGGAGGTGGCATCTTGGGAGCCTCTGTGGGCACTCTTGGGGCCTCCTGGGAGCTTCCTGGGGGCCTCTTAGAGGCATCTGAGGGGCCTCCTTTGGCCTCTTGGGGGCGTTGGGGGGCTTCTCGGGGGCCTCTTTAGCCATCTTGGGGCATTCCTGGCCTGTCTGACGCCGTCGGAAGCCGTCTTGGGGACCTCTCTGGTCCGACTTAGGACCCTGTTGACGCACTCCAGGGCAGTCTTGGAGGCCATCTGGGGCGTCCTGGAGGCTTCTTGGGCCGTCTGGGGGCCCTCTTGGGGCCGTCTTGGGGGCCTCTTGGGCCGTTCTGGGGCCATCTTGGAGGCCTCTTGGGCGATCTTGGGGCGATCTTTGGGGGCTCTTGGCCCGTCTCGGGCCGTGGGAAGGGAAACAAGCGCCTTCAATCTTTGAAACACCGATGGAACATCAATGATTTGGGCCTCTTCGGGCCTTCCTGGAGGACCTCTTGGAGGCCTCTTGAGCCGTCTTAGAGACATCTTGGAGGCCTCTTGGGCCGTCTTGGGCCATCTTGGAGCCATCTTGGGCCGTTTTGGTGGGCTCCTGGTTTGTCTGACGTCGTCGGAAGCCGTCTTGGGGGCCTCTCTGGGCCGACTTAGGACCCTCTTGACGCACTCCAGGGCAGTCTTGGAGGCCGTCTTGGGCGTCCTGGAGGCTTCTTGGGCCGTCTGGGAGCCCTCTTGGGGCCGTCTTGGGGGCCTCTTGGGCCGTTCTGGGTCCATCTTGGAGGCCTCTTGGGCGATCTTGGGGCGATCTTTGGGGGCTCTTGGGACGTCTCGGGCCGTGGGAATGGTGAACAGAAGAACACTCCAAATACTTGGAACACCGATGGAACATCAATGATTTGGGCCTCTTCGGGCCTTCCTGAAGGACCACTTTGAGGCCTCTTGGGCCGTCATGGAGACATCTTGGGGTCCTCTTGGGCCGTCTTGGGCCGTCTTGGTGTGCTCCTGGTCCGTCTGACGCCGTCGGAAGCCGTCTTGGGGGCCTCTCTGGGTCGACTTCGGGTCCCCCTGACGTGCTCCAGGGCAGTCTTGGAGGCCATCTTGGGCGTCTGGGAGGCCTCTTGGGCCGTCTGGGAGCCCTCTTGGGGCCGTCTTGGGGGCCTCTTGGGCCGTTCTGGGGCCATCTTGGATGCCTCTTGGGCGATCTTGGGGCGATCTTTGGGGGCTCTTGGGACGTCTCGGGCCGTGGGAAGGCCGAAAAGACGCATCTTTCAAAATCCCTGAAACAACCGATGGGACATCAATGGCCTCCTCGGGCCTTCCTGGAGGCCCTCTTGGGGGCCTCTTGTGCCGTCTTGGGAACCTCTTCGGGGCCTCTTGGGCCGTCTTGGGCCATCTTGAAACCATCGCCATCTTTTGCCGTCTTGGTGGGCTTCTGGCCCGTCTGACGCCGTCGGAAGCCGTCTTGGGGGCCTCTCTGGGCCGACTTAGGACCCTCTTGGCGTACTCCAGGGCAGTCTTGGAGGCCATCTGGGGCGTCTGGGAGGCCTCTTGGGCCGTCTTGGGGCCCTCTTGGGGCCGTCTTGGGAGCCTCTTGGGCCGTTCTGGGGCCATCTTGGAGGCCTCTTGGGCGATCTTGGGGCGATCTTTGGAGGCTTTGGGCCGTCTCGGGCCGTGGAAAGGCCGAACAGAAACACATGTCAAAGACCTTGAGATAACCGATGAGCAATCAATACTTTTGGCTTCTTCGGGCTTTCTGGAGGACGCCTTTGAGGCCTCTTGGGCCGTCTTGGAGGCCTCTTGGTTGCGTCTCGGAGCGTCTTGGGCCATCCTGGAGCCAGCTTGGGCCGTATTGGAGTCTCGTGGCCGGACTTGGAGGCATCCTGGACCCTTTTGGGCCGTCTTGGAGTCCATCTTGGACCATCTTGGGCGAACTTAGAGGCCATTTCGGGCCGTCTGAGCAGTTTTAGAGGCCATCTTGGGCCATCTTGGAACGGTAAAGGCATTGCCATATACATTGTGCGGTCCTTTCCGGGTGGCCAGCGGGACGGGCCGAACCCCAAGGGGGAGCTCTTTTGGAAAAAAAACAAAATCAAAGACCGTAGGATCTAGCACGCCAGGCACCCCCGTGGCAAGCCAACAGGGAGCGGCGGATCAAAGACGCCTACGGCGAATCACCGCCGCCCCCTGCCCCTTCGGAAGCGCCTCTTTGTCCGACAGCTGGGTCAGAGCTTGGCCAAGCTGTCCGGCCAGTTGTTCCCCGAGTCGGTTTGGAAAGACTTCGGGGAACGCGTGGGGTAGCAAGAAGAGGAGGAGGGGGAGCATGAGGAAAAAGGAGGAGGAGGAGGAGGAGGAGGAGGAGGAGGAGGAGGAGGAGGAGGAGGAGGAGGATGAGGCCTCTTGGGCGCCTCTTCGGGCACTCTTGGGCCTCCTGGGAGCTTCCTGGGGGCGCCTTGGATGGTTTTTGGGGGCCTTTGGGGGCTTCTTGGGGGCCTCTTTGGCCGTCTTAGGGCGTTCCTGGCTTGTCTGACGCCGTCGGAAGCCGTCTTGGGGGTCTGTCTGGGTCGTCTTGGGGCCCTCTTGGGGCATATCAGGGGTTCTTAAATACCATCTCGAGCGTCTTGGAGGCCTCTTGGGCCGTTTTGGGGCCCTGTTGGGGCCGTCTCGGGGGCCTTTTGGGCCGTCGTGGTGCCATCTTGGAGGCCTCTTGGGCGATCTTGGGGGCCTCTTGCGCCGTCTTGAGCCGTCGGAATTGCGAGACGAAGCACATGCCAAAATCTTTCAAACACCTTGGAAAACTCAATGATTGTGGCCTCTTCGTGCCCTCCTGGAAGACCTCCTGGACGCCTTTGGGGCCGTCTTGGAGCGTCTTGGGTCATCTTGAGGCCATCTTAAGGCCATCTTAGGCCGTCTTGGGTGCATCTTGGGCCGTCGTGGAGGCATCTTGGGGTCATCTTAGCAGTCTTAGGGGCCATATTGGCTGTCTTGGGGGCCTCTTGGGCCCTCTTCGGGCAGTCTTGGGGGTCTCTTGGGCCGTCATGGGGCCATCTTGGAGGCGTCGTGGGCGATCTTGGGGGCCTCTTGGGCCGTCTTGAGCCGTCGGAACGCCACACAAAAAAAAACAAGTGCCACAATCCTTCAACCACCTAAGGACAATCAATGATTTTGGCCTCTTCGGGCCCTCCTGGAGGACCTCTTGGAGGCCTCTTGGGCCGTCTTAGGCCATCTGGAGGCCATCTCAGGCCGTCTTGGATGCATCTTGGGCCGTCTTCGAGGCATTTTGGGGCCATCTTAGCCGTCTTGGAGGCCATCTTGGGCGTCTTGGAGGCCTCTTGGGCCGTTTCGGGGCCCTCTTGGGGGCATCTTGGGGGCCTCTTGGGGCCGTCATGGGGCCACATGCCAACATCCTTCAAAAACCTAAGGCACATCAATGATTTTCGCCTCTTCGGGCCGTCCTGGAGGACCTCTTGGAGGCCTATTGGGCTGTCTTGGAGACCTCTTAGGGGGCTCTTGGGCCGTCTTGGGTCATATTGAGGCTATCTTAGGCCGTCTTGGGTGCATCTTGGGCCGTCTTGGAGGCATTTTGGGGCCATCTGAGCCGTCTTGGAGTCCATCTTCGCCGTCTTGGGCGATCTTGGAGGCCATCTTGGGCCGTCTAAGATCTTT